GTATTCATTTCACAATTTTTTTTATTTTAAGTAAAAAAATGATGCTTTATATATATTTGTATTTCACATAAGATAATATATGATACATAGGGATGAACTAAAATAACACATTTAACTTAACGATTTACTGAAATTTAATAATAAGTAATTTTTATTTTTAATTTAAAATTTAAGTTTACTCGTAAATAATCATTACTTTATAAATTAAGTTTACAAATTAAGTTTTAGGATTATGACTTAAGGACTTTGAATATAATATATTAATAATGTATCTTTAAAAATATTAAAAAAACTAATAATAAAAATTAATTTTAAAATATTTTGATAAGAAAATAATAAATTAAAAAATAATATCTTTATGGCGGTAAAAAGAATGGTATGGTCAACAAAGGCCTTTGGACTGTGCACGTGACGAACTGTCGGCGTTATCTAGTGCCACGTCCGGTGGACGGTATTTATTAGTAATATTTCAAGAAGAAACATATAGTTTTTTTTTTTAATAAAAATAATGATTAATAAATTAGTATTGTTAAATATTAACAACTGAAGATTTGATTTTCAAATCTGATGAATAATTCACTTGCATCAATGAAACATACAGTTATTGGCTCGCTTGGTGGAATTAAGGAGAACTCGCTTGGTGGAATTAAGGAGAAACATATAGTTTTTTTAAAATATAACAGATAAAATAAAAAGTAAATTATTTATTTTATAATTTAAATTATCAAATTAAAAAAAAAAAGTCTTATCTTTTCCAGTCAATATTATCTATCTTACCACGTCATGTTCAGACAGATTTCGTCCAGGAGCAGCAACTTTTGTGTGTTCGGACAGCTGTTGTATGATTGTAGTGAGTATACATTGATATCCTTCCACCAACTGAAGCTGCAGGATTTCGTCCAGGAGCAGCAAGTTTTGTGTGTTCGGACAGCTGTTGTATGATTGTAGTGAGTATACATTGATATCCTTCCACCAACTGAAGCTGCAGGATAATGCTAGTGACTGCGATCCAGCGCAAGGAATATATTCCTGCCGGAAGCGCACATCGTTTCGTGT